GCCTCACCTTGAATATTGTTTGCAGTTCTGAGCACCACAATATAAGAAAGGTACTAAATTATTGGAGAGCACCCAAAGGAGGGCAGTGAAGATGGTGAAGGGCCTTGAGGGGAAGCCATGTGAGGAGTAGATCAGGTCACTTGGTCTGTTCAGCCTGGAGAAGAGGTGACTGAGGGGAGATATCACTGTATATAACTTCTTCATGGAAGGAAGTGGAGGGTCTGGCACTGACAGGGAAGTTGTCACAGCACCAAGCCTGACGGGATTCAAGAGGCATTTGGACAATGCTCTCGGGCATATGATGTGATTATTGGGGGTATCCTGTGCAGGGCCAAGAACTGGACTAGATAATCCTCAAGGGTTCCTTCCAACTCTGGTTATTCTTCGATTCTGTGATATTAGTAAGAAGAGTATTGTATGTGTAATCTTGTCCTGTGTGATTTAAAAAAAGAAGTATAATTCTTCTCCTCCTTTACCCGTGGGCTGTTAAATGCAAATATTAGCTGGATTTGCTAGCTCACTGTGCAACATTTGTTCTTTTCTTTTAGAAGAGAAGTATATGGTATTCTTAAAGCTGAAGGCATTTTACTTCCTCGCTATGCAGTTCTGAACCGTGATCCAAACAATCCCCAAGGTAAAAATATCAGCCATTAGCATCTCTTTGTTTCCGCTGTAGAACAGTACATACATAGTGGAAAGCTAAATTTCACTGGCTAGACAATTCATTTATGCAGTTTGATTTCTGCTCTGGCATTGAAAGTATTGTGGATTAACGCCTACTGCCTGTGGGGGGCAGTGTGTGAAAAAGAAAAGGATTGAGGCTTTTAAGTGCTGTTCAGCAATATATCAAGAACATCAAGACTTTTACTGGTCACAGGTTAGAAGCATACCACCATACCAGCTGCTGTGAAGAAAAGTAACTCCATCCCAGTCAAAGGCAGTGCAAGTGTGCGTCTGAAATATGGTTCTGAAGCTTGAGGTCACAATCCTCTTACAGACATCATAGAACAGCTAGAATGTAAGGGCCTCTTCACTTAAACTGAGATTCTAATATGTCACCAAAGAGAGCAGCATTCATGATGTTACATTAACAACAATAACTGGCAATTTTACTTAAGTAGGCTATTGAATACTTTCCCTTCTAGTTATAAGCAGCCATGTAAGTATAGTACAGACATATCTGCAGATGATATACTCTGAATATAAATTGGAATTACTTCTATATCTACCTGAAAAAAAACCAACTTTGCTTTTTCTACTAAAATGAAAACTTACAGTAATGGTAGGAGGTTGCAATGACAGGCCAAGACACAAGAAAAAGAGCTTAAAAAAACCTGAAATACTAGTGTGGTGTATCTCTCAAGGGGCAGAGAATTTTGCGTTAAAATATCTGTGTAATATAGGGAGAAAAAGACTCATTTACGGTCAAATAAAAGCTGGTGCATGCAGTCAACTGGTATTTCAGGGATTTGTGATTCCAGCAGACCACAGAGGTGTAGGATGCATCGATCACACAGTATGAGACAGTTCTCAGCCTGTGGAAGGTACTGTGGCACCTGTCACCACACCATGTGCACTGTCCATCATCACTGCTCCCTGGTGTTTCAGAGGAAGACACTTAAGAAAAAGGCAATCAGCACTTTCCCCCTCTTCAAAACGTTTCCAAAATACACCACCCATCCAAGTTTATGCATCTGTAGGAGTCTGTTTCCTGTCTGACACTGAGGACCCAGCTGACACCACAGACAGAAAGCTTGGAGCATAGTATTAAAGCGACGTAATGTAGGTGTGATACAGCAGATACATTCACCATGGGATCATCAGGTCTTTGTGCAGTCAGTAACAAATCAGAGCAACATCACTGTAATGCAGTATTTTTATTTCAACCTGCAAAAGTAATGCAGATCCTGTCATATTTTCATTCCATTAGTATGTTACTATATCTGTTCTTTGCACTGTTTCTTCAGAGTGCAACTTGATTGAAGGAGAAGATCACGTGGAAGTGAATGGAGAAATTTTCCAAAAGCCCTTTGTAGAAAAGCCGGTTAGTGCTGAGGACCACAATGTTTACATTTACTACCCAACATCTGCTGGAGGTGGAAGCCAGAGGCTCTTTCGAAAGGTGAGGATATGGTACTAAATCTGTTGAAAAGCTGTAGGTGTCTCGCAGAATTACGGAATAATTCTGTCACGGCCTGCTTGTGTAGGAATAATGGCAGCTCAGAAAAAGTAATTTCAGGAGAACATGTAGATTGAATGAGTATTCTTGTTCCTTGCAGTAGATTGTTAGTCACTGTAGATGCTTAGAGTTAAAAAGGATTAAAAGAAGCATACACTATCGTTGCACTTTCAAGATCTTACAAAAATCTGGGAGCGATCAAAACCTTGCTTCATTTGGTACAGGAAGTGTTTTCCCAGTACAAGTGTGTTACTTTAAGGAGTTTCAAAGTTTCTCAACCTGTAGCCTGTGAGTTTTTTAATGGAAAAATTTGTTTCAGATTGGCAGCAGAAGCAGTGTTTACTCCCCTGAAAGCAGTGTGAGAAAAACGGGCTCCTATATTTATGAGGAATTCATGCCTACAGATGGCACCGATGTGAAGGTATGAACAGCTGTGCATTCTTACTTGTATTTGGATCAAGTGCTCAAAGAACTTGTCAGTTTTAAAGATGATATCTTTAAAGATAGTATATCTTTGTGTCAAGAATTAATTTTAATTAAGTTTTGATACAGTTCATAAGTAAAGAACATAATTCTTATTCTAGCTAAACATAGCATCTGTAATATAGAACAGCTGTGCTTCTGTGGTTAGAATCAAGTGCTGGAGGCTTGCTACCCAATATATTGTCTTTCTTTTTTTTCCTATTGTATTGTGCCAGAGCAGCATCTACTTTTACAAGTTAACAGATGCTGCATAAATATTTTGTCTGAAGGTTAAAAGAAACCTGTAATTGAAATAGATTTTACCAACTATACTAGTATGGTAATTAATAAAAAAAGTTACTTGCTAAAATTTTATGAAGTTGAAGAAACTAATGCATTGTCCTTATCTGTAATTATTTTCTCTCTTCTGTGTCTTTCTTTTCTTAACATGAGGGGGATGGTCTTATGTTCTCACAAAAAAAACCCAACCTGTTCATTAAGTTGCTATGCTTTAATGAGATATGCTCTCCCCATAGTTTTTCTGTGCAACATTTTGCAATAGGATAATTTGAGTTTACAGTCATATGGGTAAGAGCTTTACAAACTTTACAAAGAGTTTCTTTCAACATGAAGAGATGCAAATGACTTGACTATTTTGACTGATTGTAGTGTAGTCCTCAAGCAGCCAATGAGGGCTTTTAGCACCCCAAATAAATAATAGATTTTCTTAACAAGACAATCAGCTTTATATTAGGTGGCTTCACCCAACTCACCTCTTTTTCTGAATTCACTAAATTGACACTGTTTGCAGTCATCTGCTGTAGTTGAAAAACTTTTTTATCAAAGCTTGGAGTTTTGTTTTAGTTAAAGAGACAGTAGCCTGTTTTTGAGAGCCGCTGACTAATCTCTTCTAGCATATGCCCCAATACTTTCAGTGAGCATCAAAACTGCAGTGGAGAGATAGCACAGCCATTCTCTCAAGTTCCTGCCTTGTTGTGCTAAAACTGGGCAGATCTTTGCTTTTTTTAGTCCTGTCTAAAACATAAAAGCATTCTTTTCTTTTACAAAAGAGAATCACTTAGTCCCATAGCCAGATTTCCATAATCAACTAGACTGAAATAATTCTCAAACTAAGCTGTTCTCCAAGTTCTGCAAGTGTTTTGGAGAGGAAAACATTATTCTTTAGCTCTCTGCCACCACAACTGAGTAATTTGTATTTATCAGGTTTTATAATTACTATTTTTCTTGGTTTATCCTACATTGTCAGCAAATGATGGGTGTTCTCTGAAGGCAGAGAATGCCACTGAGGAAGATACTTTAGTGTGACCTTTCAAATTATTAAAGCATCTAGTATCTTTTGGTGTCATTTTTGTATTTGAGATGAATTTAGCAAATTGTATGCATATATGTAACATGATTTAATTACACTGAATCAGAAGCTCCTGTGTTTTCAATACAGGTATACACAGTAGGTCCAGACTATGCTCATGCTGAAGCCCGGAAATCTCCAGCCCTGGATGGCAAGGTAGAAAGAGATAGTGAAGGAAAAGAAGTGAGGTATCCAGTCATCCTGAATGCAAGAGAGAAGTTAATTGCTTGGAAAGTGTGCCTTGCCTTTAAGGTAAGCTGATTACTTTCCTATCTGATCAAACATTTAGTGTTAATTAATTGCTTGTTATGTGAAACTTCCATAGGTTTTAGTGCACGGAGCCAGCAGTTCTAACTGTGGCAGAACTCCTAGGAAAAGTTAAATTTCCACATCCATGTTTTCTTTTAATCTAGGAGAATTCTTCCTTTAATACATTGAAAAGTTTTGGATGAGTTGCTCATGTTGCATTAGCTTCCTGAATTCACATGTGGCTATTGTGATTTGCTAGACCACAGTGTATCTGTTCTATGTGTAATACACATGTTTTGATAATGGTTTCTGAGATAGAAAAACAGAGTTTCAGTAACATTTTTATAACTTTTCTTACCTAATATTTACATTGGGCCCAATTAAATATTCATTTGATATTGGTATGATTAAGTCCTATGAAATGTTTAATAGCTTCCATTCTTGTACAGTTTTAAGATTCCTTTGTTCAGAACTTCATTCAGTCTCTTACCCTTCTTTGACCTGTTTTATTTAAAAGGCTTTCTGTCTGTGTGCTTACCTGTGTACAACTATGATGGTATTCTGGAGCCTGTGGGGTGGTGAACCTCTATTAGGAAAATGGTCTTTTGAGGTCTTAAATAGTATTCTGTTGAAATAGCTTCTAGTGTCCTGTACTAATGATGTCAATAGTATGTCAATGTCAAAACTAACCTGTGAATTTAGACAGAAGTGTTTTTTCAATGTTTTTGTCATTTCTTGCCTGCCACCCTTAAAAACTATGTGTAGGGAGAAACCAGTGTCAGAAGAGGGTATTTTAGGCCCATCATGGCTTGTGATGTAAGTCTTGGAGGTTAAGTTTGTGCACATGTGAACTTAACCTTCAGTACTGACACTGACAAGGATATGTACGAAGGGTAAAATCAAGCATGGAACTGGCATAAGATACCAAGTACAAAATCGGTCATATTTTTGTCATGTATACAGATGAGTACTGTGTTAAAATACAAAGTCTGTTAGAATAAGCAACCCTAAGGAAAGTGATAAATTACCTGAACTTTTATTCTTAAAAACAGCAAACAGTATGTGGCTTTGATTTGCTGCGTGCTAATGGACAGTCTTATGTCTGTGACGTGAATGGCTTCAGTTTTGTGAAAAACTCCATGAAGTACTATGATGATTGTGCTAAGATATTGGGGTAAGTGTTTGCTGATTTATTTCAAGAGATTTGTTTATTCACTGTACTGTTTGACTATAGTTTATGTACTTCTTATTACTTCTTATTACTAAACAGATTATTTTAAGTTAATTATCACGTAAATTAAGTCATTAAATTAAACAATAAGGTAAATAAAATATCAAAGATAAACCTAAGTCAATCAATAAATCCTTATTCCTGAAATCTTCTAAAATGTCTGAGTATTCTATGAACATTAAAGTTAGCTAAATAAATATTTTGAAAGCCAGATTAAGTTCTTAAAAGTAGGTCAGGTTTTTTCAAGTAGTGAAGCACCACTGGATGGTTATGATTGCTGCTGTTTATTATATGTCCAAATTTCTGTACATTGTCCTTGATCTGAAGCTGGTGTATACTTGCATATTCCTAGCTTTGATTTCATACTGGTAAATCCAAACCAATGTAGTATCAAAGTGTCTTCTATCATAACATCTTCTCTCTGCCGCTAGAAAAAATAAAAGGAAGAATAAAGTATCACACAGAATTGGGTATAGAACACTATGCCAAGGAACACTATGTTGCTCTCACAGTAGACTGTTCCCATTTTGACCAGTTAAGCTGGTTTTACAGTAAGACTGCCCTGATGAGATACAGCATGACTTTGTGCATTATCAAGTGGTCTGGGATCTTATTAAATGGAGGATGAGCTAAGCTGAAATCCTAGATAACAGGTGTTGTAGGTCACTTTTTCATTAGAGTTACAATTCTCAGACCCATTTTGATTTTTATTTTCTTAAACTGTTGTAGCTGTTGAATTGTCTGAAAAACATTACCTCATCATTTTTTAGCAGCTGTAGTAACTTCAAATTGTTGTTTTAATAGGGTTTTAAATTAAAAGAAAAATATGCATCTAGACACTCATGCCTGCTAGTACTCTAAAACTGCATTAATAAAAAATATATATATATAT